TGTATTTTATTGTGCACCAAACGTGTAATATTTACCCGAATAGTTTGGAATTTTGCACATACAACCAAATTAGGCCTGAAAATAAATATGCCAAATTTTATCGAAATCGGTTCAGATATAGCTATAGCATCCATATATATTGTTCATCCGATTTGTTATTTTTGTCCTCCGCAGCCGTAATATGTACTCTGTAACAACAATATTTGGGGAAATATATGGGGAATAGCTCAGAAATATATTTGCTAAATTTTATCGGGATCGGTTCAGATTTGGATATAGCTCCCATATATAACTTCGTCCGATTTACCTTTTATTGTGCACCAAACGTCTAATATTTGTCCAAATGGGATGGAATTTGGCACTTACGACCGAATTGAAGTCTAGAAGCTAGTATGCCAAATTTGCTGAAGATCGGTTCAGATATAGATATAGCTCCCATATATACTGTTCATCCGTCTTGTTATATTTGTTACAGCAGTAATATGCACTCCGTAACAACGATATTCAGGGAAATACATCAAATACAGCTTAGAAATATCTTTGCCAAATTTTATCGAGATCGGTTCCGATTTGAATATAGCTCCCACCAAATGGGCAATACAAGTCCGAATTTATGAGATACAAATGCTTCGGCATATTTAGTCCTTTGAACTTGAAATTATAATTCTAATCATAGCGTGTATGATGGAATTCTCCCATAAAAACTTTTAATTGTTATGCGGAGCTCTACTAAATTAGCAAAGTGGTGTAGGGTATCATAAAGTCGGCCGCGCCCGACTTTAAGACTTTCTTTACTGGTTTATAAATAACAAAAATTAACAACATTGGGCGTCGTTATTACAAGGATTAAAAACGCCACCTACTGGAGAAAATTAACACTAATATTATGTAAAATAACAATCATTGAAATCATGCTACTATTAATTATCATAAATCTACCAGTATATCCGACAAAATTCAAAAATTCTCTTCATTTTTAAAAATTTTTTTAAATCGCTTGGCAACCCTGGATAATTATCTTTTCTCATTGAATACATCCCCGAGCATTTGTAAGATACAGAAACTATTATTTGTGATGGTGGTGGTCACTCGATGGACGTACAAAAGGACGGACAGACATGTGTGCACTTTCTGTGTGATGGATGCCAGATGCGGGCATCAGCTCAGCTACTTGGCTGGCCAACTGAGTTTAATATTTCTTTTTTCACTTCAGGCATCATCATCATCATCATCTTTTGCAAGTGTGGAACTAAATAACTAAAAATGTGATGCGTAATAAAACTAGAATTTCAGCAGAATTTTTTTTGCCCATGGACAGCAGCAAAGCGAGAGAAAAGAAAATATGGCAAAAAAAAACAGAAGAATAGAAAAATAGAAAAATACAAAAATCTACATGTGTCAAATTTAGAAGAGACAAACAAAAAATTAGAAAACAGCGGGCGTCATTACATGACTGAGTGACCAGCAGTAACAGCAATGCGAAAGGCAGAGGGGTGCAGAAAAAAACTATTTCGGTTTTGGAAAGAAATTCTTTCTGGCGTTCGTTCTCAAAAGACAATGTAGGTAGCAAATGTAAATGTAATTTGGACAAATTGTTCTAATAAAACTACATGGGCATTCTCTCAAGTGCCTTGGGACAAAAGACATGAACTGGACATTTGTTACACAAAACAGAAAAATGGGTCATGTGTAGCCAGTAGTTCAGATTTGTCTTAAAAGATTTTTTTATTTTCTTTGTGATTTTTCTTCTCTTTTTTTGAGCTCCATCGTCACATGCAGATAACTGAAGCAGGAATACACTCTGCAAATATTAATACGCTTAATTAAATATAAATTAGTCATAATGAGTCACAGGTCAGATTTTGATGTTGCCTTTATTGAATCTTCTTCTCCGTCTTTAACAAGACAGACACAGATGCCGTCTTATCAGTTGTATACAAATTATTCTCTTGCAATTAATCTCACATTAAATTTTGCAATAAACCATAAACAAATGCCAATTAATTTAAAAAATGATTTCTTTGAATAGATAATTAAATGAAGTAAAGAACTTTTATATATAAAAAAATCAACAAATTATAATTGTTAATTTTGTGAATATTTTTGGAGAAATCTTTAGGCCTGGATTTTTTAAGAATATTTTGCAAGTACTAATCAGAAGTGGATTTTCTAGAATATATTTTGAAACTTATATTCACAAACTTAGATATTCTGTAAAAAATATTTTTAAGAGCCAAGAAAATTGGATTTTTTTTTTTTTTGAAAATCATACCAAGTTAACCCAAAGTGGATTTTAATATTCTTTAATGCTGATTTTAATAATATTTTTGAAAAATCTTTTTCCAAGAACCAAATTTGGACTTGTTTCAAAATTTAGCAAACGTCGATTTTTTTATATTGCTTCAAGAACCAAAAGTAAATTTTTAGGAATGTTTTAAGGGATTATTTTTAAGAATATTTTTCAAGTACCAATCAGAAGTGGATTTTTAGAATATATTTTGAAGGGCCCACAAACCTAGAAATTCTGTAAGAAATATTTTTTAAAGATCCAAGAAACGGTATTTTTTAGAAATATCTTATCTAGGTCTGGATTTTTTCTATATTTTTAAAATTTATTTTTAAACTTTTTTAGTATATTTTGAAAAAAAAAAAACATAACCAAAATCATTCCGATTTTAACAATATTTTTAAAAAATATTTTTCCAAGAACAAAACTTGTATTTTTTTAATTATTTTCCAAGAACCAAATTAAATTTTTTAGGAATTTGTTTTAAAGACAATTTTTTTAAGAATATTTTTCAAGTACTAATCAGAAATGGATTTTTAGAATATATTTCCTAAAAATTCTGTGAGAAATATTTTTAAAAATGCCAAGAAATGTGTATTTTTTTAGGAATATCTTATCAGGATCTTACCAAAGGTGGATTTTGAAAAAAAAACACAACCAAAATCATGTCGATTTTAATATTTTTAAAAAATATTTTTCCAAGAACAAAACTTGTATTTTTTTAATAATTTTCCAAGAACCAAATTCAATTTTTTAGGAATGTTTTTTAAGGACAATTTTTTTAAGAATATTTTTCAAGTACTAATCCGAAATGGATTTTTAGAATATATTTTGAGGAACCCACAAACCTAGAAATTCTGTGTAAAATATTTTTTAAAAGGCCAAGAAATGTGTATTTTTTTAAGGAATATGTTAAAAGGTCTTACCAAAGGTCTTATAAAGGTCTTAATTTTTTTTCAAGACAATTTTCATAAAATTGTTTTAAAAAGCAAACGAAAATTTTTAAAAATACTTTTTGCCGAATATCGCGTTTTCTATATGAGGGCTGAAGCAAAACGTAAACTTACATAGACTATGTTCTGGGTTCTACCTCTACCATGGGCTCTACCTCTTAATACCGAATTTCCATTTTGGAGTGACGTGGAGAGCGGAAGTATTCCTGAATTGGGGCGGGAGCACTCATGAAAGTATACAAATATATCGAGTATTCTATATTTTTCTACGCCAATAGAATACGAGCGTGTTTGCTTCGTTCGCCTTTAAATGGAAGCGAAATTCGCTCGAAGAGGATGAGATTCTATAGTTTTTGTTGTCTTATTTGAAGGTTTGTGCAAATAAATACATTAAAAAGCTTTGTCAGCAATCATTAACAACAAAGCTTATGTAATACATTCTGCCGTTTTTCGCCACTTGGTCTTTGTGCACGTTCTCCAGTTCTCCCTCCAGTCCACAATTTATATATTTTTTAAATACCATTTTTTTCAAAATTGGATTTTTGCAAAGATTTTTTTAAAGCATTTTTTCAAGACATGTTTCAAAAAATGTTTTTCCATGGAGCAAACGCTAATATTTAAAAATATTTTTTTTAGATCTAAATCTGGATATTTAAAAAATACTTTTTCAAGAATATTTTTACAGGGAACGAATGTGTTTTTTGTTTTAAATATATTTTAATATCGTTTTAATAATATTTTCAACAAGTTTGAAGAGGGGCTATATCGGTCCACGATCGTATAGACCCCATATAACGGTACCCCCCGATATTCAGTATTTTGACGATTTCTGCCAAATTTGTCAATGGGACTGTCTAAAAATCCAGACTAGAAGTATTTTCTAAGCTCTTTAACCCCTGGAAGAAACATGTTTTCAGGTCCACGATATCGTATAGCCGAAATACAACGGTACCTCTGTATTTTGACGATTTTAGCGTCATTATTCACCGGAATAGTTTCAAATTACGCATTTAGAGTTCATAATGGGAACTACAGCCTGTGACAGAAAATTTTCTATTAGTACCTCCCTATATTCGGTATTTTGAAGATTTTTGGTACAATACTCACCAAAATTGTTTTAGATGTCGTATTTGAAGTTGCAAATAGGTACTACAGCCTGTGACAGAAAATTTTCTCTGCAGGTCCAGGTCATCGTATAGTTCCGATATAACGGCACCTTCCTATATACATTATTAATTTTTTTTCAAGTTTCGTATTTGAATATTGTAATAGTTTATGACAAACAATGCCTATGTAGGTCCACGTCTTCGTGTAGACCCCAATATATCGGCTATATTTGGTATTTTTATGATTTTAACGGATTTTATTTTTTCAAAATTTCCAATTTCGTACCAAATGGTGGAGGGAATTCAAAGTTCGGCCCGGCCGAACTTACTGCTCTTTCACTGGTTAAAATTAGTTTTAATTTTTGGAACCATAGAAAATTTTAAGAATTTTTAGGAAAAAATTTCAAGGAGTGACAACGATTTTGAATGTTTTTAAAATGTTTACATGAAAAAAGCAGGGGCTTTTTAAAAGTATATTTAGTTGTGTGATTTATTAAATTTTATTTTATTTATTTATTTTTTTTTTTTTTTGAACAATAGGACTTTTGAATTTAAAATTTCTGTGAATAGTTTTATCCTGGATTTTTTTACCTTTATATAATACTTATATCGTATAGTATTTTAATAACAATTATTTTTCTTTTTATTTTTCAGATATCCATCGTAATTACCTGATAATAGTTTGAGGTAAGTGATTGAAACCTTTGAAATATTGAACAATTTAATAATTATGTCATATATTCAGACAAAGTTGTACGTTAGATTTTTATTATAATTCCACGAATTGTTTCACTTCTTACCAAAACCTTATATTTAGAATATATAGGTCTTGTGTAAAGATGGACCTAAATGACTAAAGACTTAAGTTGCTAAAGCTCTCTCATGACAGTTTTTAATTCCTCACTTATTGAGTTCTCTTTTGGGGAAACATATTCCTCCGGTTAATGGGATTTTTTCTTATATTTTTTGCTATGAAATGTCTCGGCTTAAAAAAGAATTATTTCATAAAGAGAGGAGTTAAAAGAGAGGAGTCATAAAGAGAGGAGTTAAAAGCCGTCGTAGGAGAACAGATTTTTTTCTTAGGTGTTTTCCTTTTTTTTTTGTTTTTTGATTTTTCAAACTTTTATTTGTCATTCGTTTCTGTAACTTTGTTCGAAGTTTGTAATGGATACTGCAGTCTATGCAAAAAAAATCGTATGCACGTCCATGTCTACGTACCGCCCCCATATAACCCTTTATTTGGAATTTGATGATTTTAATGACATTATTCGCCGGAATTGTTTCAAATTTCGTATTTGAAGGTTTTAAAGGGTACTACAGCCCATGACAAAAAAAGAAAAATACTTATGCAAAAGTTAGCCGATGTAGCCCATCTTTGAACTTGATCTAAGTTCACACCCAAAACTCATGTGTGCCAATATTCATTATTAATTGTTTTTTTTTTTTTTTGCAAGGCGGTTAGGAACCTGTAACAACATTCACATACCGAATTCCAGACAATTCCGTTGATCAATGTACAGAAAATCGTCGGAATGCTTAAAATGAGGGGGAACCGTTATATGGCCGATATAGCTCATTTTCGAACTTGATATTGGTTCAGACCAAAACGTATGAGTATTAATATTCAGCACTCTATCTTAATTCTTTCGAAAGATAGCAACGGAAGGAAGGGCATGAGTAAACCGTATTAGGATTTTACGTTCATCATGAATATATCTACTTTGTGGGGTCTTCATTACTTCGATGAGTTGTAAACGGATCGAAAAACTTAATATACCCTCCAAGTTATGGTGGAGGATATAAAAAGTGTCATAGCTTCTAGGTATTATGGTTTTTCCTACAAAAAACAATTTCCTGTTGATTGATTGATTTTATACCTTTTTCTTAAATCGATTCCAGCTGTCAACACTCAAATCATTAAAGTATCTTTAATGGCCCTATTTGTGAAATCTTTTTTTAAACAACTTTTCCGAGCAATAAAAAAGTAAATAAATTTTAAAATAATTTTTACACACCTTTCGGGTGGTGACTAATGTCAAGCCATTCATTCGATCATCAGTCGCTGAATGTGTAATAATGAAATATTTCGTTGTATTATTGACAAGCATGAAAGTAAACAATTCAATCTATGGACCCCGAAATAAAATACCAGCAACTGTATCAACAATGTGGGGAATATGGTTTTTCCAATAAATTTCAATAAATATTACCAAAAAAAAATCTACAAATAAACAAAAGAACACACACACTTTCGCAGTGGATTGAAATTTTCATTTAGAAAACTATCAGATAGAGATAGAAAAGTTTCTAAAGATAGAGATTTTCTAAGGCACACCACACAATTAATTTCATGGAAGGGGAGAGGGAGGGAGGTAGAGAAGAGGTGGCTTCCCAAACTAAACATGAATCAGCCTTAATTTACCCATAAACGTAAAACAGAAACTAAATTACACATTTTCTCCCAACTACATCTGTTTATACATATTTAGTCTTCTCCCTCCCCCCAGCCCCACCGAAAATCACTGGCGTAATAATCTTGTTTTCCACCAAAACGATCACTTCCGTATTTAATAATGTCGAGATTGTTTCAAATTTTCCATTTGGGGAAAAAGAAAAGCAAAAAAATAATTGATGGGTGAGTGAACAAGAAAATGTCTTCTGTTTTTGAAAATCGTTCAGGTTGTTGTTGTTGTTGGTGGTGTGTATGTGCATGACAATGGATCTATTACAAACGAAACATTTCTTATTTGTTACCAGGGGAATTGATGCATTTCAGTACATTTTCAATAGCCAAGGGAGTTTCTTGAAATAGATTTTATTTCTATTTTCTCCCTACTTTTGGGTTTAACAATAAACTTAGAGAAAAATAAATTTAACTTTAAGTACAAAATACCTCGAGTTTTAGGTGAAAAAAATAGTGGCTGCACTTAAAATAAATCGCCTGTTGAAAGTGAACCAAAATTTTATTCTTAGCTACTTTTATGCTGCAGAAAATCCATAGATAAAACACCCAGGATCTGAGAAATAACATTGTGTGACAAAATTATATTTTATTTTTCAATAATTCAGAAAAAATCCAAAAAACCAGTAAAGAAAGTCCTAAAGTCGGGCGGGGCCGATTTTATGATACCCTACACCACTTTGCTAATTTAGTTGAGCTCCACTTAATAATTAAAAGTTTTTATGGGAGAATTCAATCATACACGCTATGATTATAATTATAACTTAAAATTCAAAGGACTAAATATGCCGAAACATATTTTTAAATTCGGACTTGTATTGCCCATTTGGTGCGAAATTAATTTGAAATCGGATAAAAATATATATGGGAACTATATCCAAATCTGAACCGATCTCGATAAAATTTGGCAAAGATATTTCTGAGCTGTATTTGATATATTGATATAATTTTTCATATTACATATACATATTACAATAAATCAGATGAACAATATATATGGGAGCTACAACTATATCTGAACCGATCTTCACCAAATTTGGCATACTACCTTCTAGACTAAATTCGGTCGTATGTGCCAAATTGCATCCCATTTGGACAAATATTAGACGTTTGGTGCACAATAAATGGCAAATTGGACGAAGTTATATATGGGAGCTATATCCAAATCTGAACCGATCTCGATAAAATTTAGCAAAGGTATTTCTGAGCTGTATTTGATATATTTCGCCAAATATTGTTGTTACAGAGTGCATATTACGGCTGCGGAGGACAAAAATAACAAATCGGATGAACAATATATATGGGAGCTATAGCTATATCTGAACCGATTTGGATAAAATTTGGCATACTTATTTTCAGGCCTAATTTGGTTGTATGTGCAAAATTCCATACTATTCGGGCTGATATTACACGTTTGGTGCACAATAAAAGGCAAATCGGACGAAGATATATATGGGAGCTATATCTAAATTTTTACCGATTATCTCCAATTTCAATAGGGTTCGTCCTTGAGCCAAACAAATGTTGTCGACCTGCATTTTGTTCACAAGAATACATGGACAGACGGACGGAAGGACAGACGGACTGACATGCATAAATCAACTCAGAAAGTGATTCTATGCAGATCATCAAAAGGAACTATGGGTCTATCTCGTTTCCTTTTGCCTGTTACAAACAAATGCACAAAGACATAATACCCTGACCACCTTGTGATGTAGGGTATAAAAAAAAATAAATACGAAAGTAGATCTAAAAGACATTTGGAAAGTCTAAATCGCAAAATATCAAATTAGAGGGACAAGTTCCTCCCTCTTCAACATTTTTTTTATACTCCCAGCCACATGGCTAGTTTATACCCTCAGCCATATGGCTAGAGAGGGTATATATCATTTGATTTGGATTTGGAGTCGATCTAGCGATGTCCGTCTGTCTGTCTGGAGTATCCGATTTGGCCCAAACTTGGTACATCGTAATATTATTGTTAGATTGAGTTCGAAGATGGGCAATGTCGGTCCACTTCTTCTGATACCTCCCCCACAAAAAGGTCGATGTTTTCAAAAAATATATATATATTACTGCACAGAAAAATAAAGAATAATCCGATTTTGCTTCAACTTTGCAAATCCTAATATTTGCATCAGTGCTGGCTGGCTCAGGTGCGAAAATGGACAATATCGGTCAACTCCATCATATACCTCCCCACTAAGGGTCAAAATTTTGAATAATTACAAACCTTACAAAATGTGATGTAAGAGTCCGCTTATCTTCACATTACACACATCACAACATTTTTATCAACCCAAGGCCTGGTGTGAAGATGGAATATATCGGACCACTCCTTCTGGTACCTCCCTCAAAAAGGGTCAAAATTTTGAATTTTCATGAAGCTCATAAAACACGGAATGAACATCCGATTCAATTCAGACTTGTCACTTCTCAATATTTCCATCAACGCAAGGTCTGTTTTAAAGGTGGTAAAAATCAGACCATTCCTTCTGGTACCTCCTCTACAAAGGGTCAAAAATTTGAAAAATCAAAACGATCATAAAAACCCCAAAAATAAGCATCCGGTTCTCTTCAAATTACGCACATCACAATATTTTTTATTAACCTAAGGTGTGGTGTGAAGGAAGAATATATCGGTACCTCTCCCACAAAGGGTCAACATTCAACAAAACGCGAAATGAACATCCGATTTCAATTAGCCTTGGCACATCTCAATATTTCTATGAACGCAAGATCCGTTATAAAGATGGTAGAGAGCGGACCATTTCTTCTGGTATTTCCCCCACATAGGGTTCAAGATTTTGAAAAACAAAACGCTCAAAGAAAGCGAAATAACCTCTCGATTTTCGGTATTTTGAGGGTTTCTGCCACAATTCACAACCAAATCAACAGAAACTTTCATTTGGGGTTCCTAATAGGTCTGTTCTCTCTCTGAAGACATGTTCGCTACAGGTCCACTAATTGGTATAGCCCCCATATAACGCTACCTCCCGATGTTCGGTATTTTGAATGTTTCTGACACAATTTCCAACCAATTTAGATGAAACTTGATAATAAGGGTTCTGTGTAGATCTATTCTCCCCTTGAAAGAATATTCTCTACAGGTCTACTGATTGGCATAAGCACCATAAAACGGTACCAACCGATATTGTTTATAGGTTCCTGCCACAATGTGAAGTCAAATTAGCTGAAACTTGATATTTGGGGCTCTTGAAAGGGC